AAAATTGAATAAAAGGAAGACAGCAGGCTACTTTGCATTTGGGATAGTCCATGTTTCTCCCTAATCCAAGAGCCTATTTTTAACACAAATATTTTCTCATTCATGCAATGTTTGTGAATCTTGGAGTACCATATTGCCACAATAACAAAGTTGCAGATGACCAAAAGGTCAATGCAGAGATGCGTGGTGGTACAATTAAGTTGTAGCATCTTCCCAGTGATGATCTCTGTGTAAGGCACAGTGCAAGGTACCATCATTCAGTATATATGATACTGAAAAAGGAGGTGCACTATTCATGTAGCAATATCTAATGTTAAGAGACAGCCCACTAATACTCATGAAATATGAAAAGGGAAAGGGGAAAAAATCAAGTATTTTGCAGAGGATCTCTATGAAGTACCAATGGGAAAATATGGACAAGATTTAGACAGGATGAAAAAGCATAAATGATCATGAATTGAGCCAGATCTAATAAGACGAATTTTAATGCAAATAAAAGCAAGGTTGTTATAGTAGGGTTCAAAAGTCACTGTTAAAAGTAGAAGAAGCCGGATGTATGAATAATACAAATAGCAATTCAACCGAAAAAAAATTGTGGGATTTTGGATGGAAGGAAGGAAGGAAGGAAGGAAGGAAAGAAAGAAACATTTATTAAGTGACTACTATGTGGCAGGCACTGTGCTAAGTGCTTTTTACAAATATCTTATTTGATCCTCATAACAACCCTGGAAGGCAGATGCTTACATTAGCCCTATTTTCCAGTTGAGGAAACCAAGGCAGACACAGCTTAAGTGACTTGCCCAGAATCATACAGCTATCAAGCATCTGAGGCCAGATTTGAACAAGTCTTCCTGACTCTAGACCCAGTGCTCTATCCACTGTACCACCTAACTTCCTCAAGAAGACCTCAAGTTCAACATGAATCACATGCTAAGGTAAAGGCTGGATGACTACCTGACAAGTATATTGTAGGTTAAATTCCTGCTCAGGAAGGGGTTGGACTACATGGTCTCTAATATCCTTTCCAACTCTGAAATTCAATGGCCAGGGGTCGGGCAGATTACCAACAATTTGCACAAGAATGGGGGAAGGGCAGGTTACCCACAATTTGTATAGGGATGAAGGGAGAGGACAGATTATAGAATCATTCAAGGATGAAAGTTTAATTATGGGTATTATTTTCTTGAGACTAACATCCTAAGAATTCTTTTAGATTCCTGAGTGAGGAAGGCAGGTCTGATTCCATCTCATTTGGAAATGGGGTGGGTGACCCTGCTCCTTCACAAACCCCTGGGAGCTGACTTTCCTGTGGGGAGGAAAGTATTACAGTACCCATTATGGTGTTGTGTGAGAAATAAGGAATGGGGTGGACACCTTAGGAAGGAAAGATATAGTTAGCCTATGACTTCGAGTTTAAAATCTGGTTGTACATGTTTGATAAAACATACCCACACAGATTCATAGCTGAATAGATTTAGAACTGGAGGGGTCCTACGAGATCATTTACTACAACTCTCTACTCCTATTTTAAAGATGTGGCAGCTGAGGTCCACGGAGGTGATGTGATTCGTCCAAGGTCAGACAGGCAGCAAATATGGGAGCTGGAATTTAGTGCTAGAACTCCTGACTCCTGCTCCAATACTCTATTCACTGCCCTAGATGAAATGTATCATGTTAACAAACAGGGTTAAATCTTAGGCAATCAGATCCAGGCTAGATAATCACAAATGACTTCTTCTCTGCCAAGATAAGGGGAAATTGTGAGATTTTCTAACTACAGCAACTATATAAAAAAATCTGGACCTTAGCTTAAAAAGGCCAAGGTCTCCCACTGCATCCAGGGCCATCTCCAGTCCTCCTGATCTATATCTTGCCACTGGACCCAAAGGAATCCCCCTTAGAGAGTGAGGTCGGGGACTTTGCACAGCCCTGCCTCACTCAAATCCAATTCATTTGCAAGTGAAGTCCTCTTGGAGAACCAAGGATAAACAACAGCAAAAGAACCTAAGTGCCTCAGGTTTTTTATTGTGTGGAAGCAATTTAATGGACGAGTTCATCTTTTCAAGAAAGATTTGGTGGAAAAGAAGTGAGCACGGTGACCTTCCAAACAATTCAATTCCTAGCTATGCTTATCTACATCTTTTTAAAAATAATTTTTAATTTTTGTTTTAGGGAAACACTATGTCACAACAGAAAGAAAGACGGGCTTTGGAGTCTAAGGATCTCAGTTCAAATCCTGTCTCTGTCATTGACTGTGAGCCCGTTACTCATTCTCTTTGTCCTTCAATCTTCTTGCCTATAAAATAAAGAGAGGTGGACTAGATGGACCCTTTGGTTTCTTTTAACTATGAATCTACCATCCTTTGATCTTTGGAGATCATTGTCAGCTATTGTCATAGGATGCCAAGATCCTAAGAATTGTCCATGCAGCGAATGGCAGAGTCGATATGACAAGTCCTCACTGAACTACTGGTATGTTCAGAAATAATCAGTAATTAATACTCTTCTTCCTGAAACTCTCAGGCTGACAGCTCCTTTCTTTCGTCTTTTACTACCCCCCCAAACTTTAGGCACATATGGGGAGCCCATGGCTCCCTTGCCCCAACACATTCTCTAGATTGGGTCATTAGCATACTAAAAACCCTCAGGCAGGGATGTTTCTTTCTGAAAGGAAGACTTTATCATGAAGATAAATATTCACCAGAAGAATCTCTCCACCCTTCATCAAAAAGTAATTAAGTCTATTTAAGAATGGACTCCAGGATGGATGTTCCTACTTTGCTGGAAGATTTTTTTTCTTTTTTTTTTTTATCTTTCCTTTAACATTTTCCGCCTGGTAAAGTTGTTTTGACCACTTTTTATCACTAATAAATAAGTTCTCTCTATTTCACCTTTCAGGAATGATACAAAGAAAAGTTAAGGAACTTACTAAGGTCAGACAGAAAGTTAGTGGAAGAGCAGATACCACTTGCAGAAATTCTTAACTTGGGAGGGAATCTGTGAACTTTTAAAAAGGTGTTTTCATAACCATATCTCAATATAATTGATTTCCTTAGTAGCATAAATATTTTATTTTATGCATTTAAAAACATTATTCTTAGAGGTGTCTAAGGGGTCTATGACACAAAAAGGGTTAAGAACCCTCTACTAAGAATCTAAAATTAGAGTATTGCTTTCCAAATCCTGGGAGGTGGGATTGGACAGAAAGCTTCCAAGGACTTTTTTTTTTAAAGTTATTATGTAATCACCTTGGAATAAGTGTGTCCTAGAAACAGAGAAATGGATGGCAATTGTAACCCCCCAAAAAAAAGAATTCATGAAGGATCATACTGTCAGAAGCCTGAATTGACTCCAACTGGAAAATAAGTTACCATAGGAGGAGAAAGAGATGGTTAAATTGGCAATCACACAATGTATCTTTGGCAATAGCATTCAGGACAGATTGGATGGGGGAAGAGGCTGAAGGTGGGGAGGCTTATGTGGAGAGTCAACTAGGCACAAGGTCACAGAGCTATCTATATATGAGGGATATCCATGGGTGAGGATAAGTGCAGGAATACAACTAAGCCATGCTACACAAAGAAGGCTGGATGTGTTTTGCATGGCTGATACAGATTTAACTTATAAACAACATTGCTTTTCCCCAACACCCTGAATGATTTACTAAAAGTCCAGCCAGTCCTATTGCTTAGTAATTTCAGAAAAAAAGTCCTTCTCACCTTCCCAAACAGATGACTCAGAATATTTCTGTACCCTGTCTAAAAGTTAGCTCAAGATACTGGAGATAAGAGCTCTTGAGTTTCTTCCAGTCCTCTGATTAAAATTCAATTATATGAAACTTTTATTAAGTACTTAATACATGCTAGAGCTAAGTGTTTGGCATAGGAACTATGGCTGTGATTTCATTCATGTAAGGAAATCCCAGATGAGGAAACTTTTTTTTTTCCCAATGCAGGTCAGCACTTTGTCTGCCACTTATATTCTAAGAGAGTCCCCAGGAATATGAAGAGATTAAAGTACTTTCTCAGAGTCATATAGCCAGAACATGTCAGAAGCAACACTTGAACTCAGGTCTTTTGGCTCCAAGCTCAGCTTTCCATTCCCTGTGCCATGATGGCCCTAAAAATAGAAAGATAACTGATTATTAATAGCCAATGATTTGGGGCAATCCAGGGTTCCCCCTTCTTCCAAAGGCCTCATTTCAAAAACTCAGTCTTTGAAGGTCGAACTTGCTTTCTCCTCTATCAGTCCCCACCCCACTTTACAAGGAATCTCTAATCTAAGGTGAATTCCACTCAATCAAGCTTGGGTGGAGATAGATCTTTTTATCTAGATTGCCCAAGGCTGGGGTGGCCTGGGTGTACGGATAGGGTTGGTGCAAGAATGATATGATGTCACTCTCAGCCCCTCATTGCAATATTCATTATCTCATTAGTTGTTAAACAATCAGTGTTGAGTGCCACTCTCAGGAAAATCCATTCCTCTTCCAAGGAAATACAAGCTATGAGCCTGCTGCCATGATTGTCTGAGATATTTGAGAGTGTCACTGACCATCTATTAAAAATGCTGGCATTATTAATAACATGACTAATTACCCAGAAGTTATATCTCTCCAACTTTTTAAACACTACACAACAATACTTTCCTCTACTTCACTGCCCTTGAAATGTTAGGGAAAGAAGAGCTTATGCAAACGTATGTGGTATAAAGTAGAATATGCTAAGGACAAAAGGAATGATCTGGGGAAAGTACCATATGAAATATGAAAAGAGAGTCCTTTGAGTTGAAATGATCTGGGAAAGCTTCTTGTGGGAAGTAGCACCTAAAGTAGACACTGAAGAAAGAGAACGATTTCAAGCAGCAGAGGTGAGGAGAGAAATACATTCGAAGAGTGGGAGACAGTCTGCACAAGGGCAAGAGAGAGTGAGGTGAGATCATAATGGGCCAGCCTGGCTGGAGTATATGTAAAGGGGAGAGAGAAGAAAACAAGGCTAGAAAAAGAGGTTGGAGTCAAATCATGGGCCATGTCCATTGGCACAGACACTGGGGAACCACAGAAGGTTCCGAGCAAGAACAAAACATGTACCTAAGCATTAGGAAGATATTAGGGGGAGAAGAAGTTGGTTTCATCTTAAAAGATCTGCTGCCTTCTTGTTGGTTACATAGATGCCCTATGCAAGGCACTGCCCACCCAGAAAGAGAAGCAAGAAATCAAACTAAGGTACAAAAAGATTTCTAAAGGCATCTTTGTCAAAGATCAATTGGAGAAGTGAGACTAGGGACAAGAAGACTGGTTATGAGGTTATTAGAACTGACTAGGAGAGTAGTAATGAGGGTTTTATATGGAGCGGTGATTATGGGAGTGGAGGGGAAGAAACAGTGCTAGAGATTATTGTGGCCAAAGAGTTGGCAAGACTTAGCACCTTCTCAAATGTAGGAATTGAGGGAGAGAAAAGAGTCTAAGAGAATTCAGACAGTTTCAAGCCAGGCTGGCTGGAAAGCGGGCATTACCATCAGCAGAAATAGAGACATTTGGAGGAGAAGCATTTGGGGCGGGAAGTGCGGCACAGCCGTGATGAGTTTACTTATACAGATCTTGATTTTAGGTGTCTGCATTGGCATCCAGGTGGAGATACCCTATAGGCAGCTAGAGATGTGGGACTGGCAGTCAGGAGAAAAATAAAAGCTGCTTCTTCTTCACTTTTTCTGGTTTTCTTACCCTGACCTGGTCCTAGGGCAGAGGGGCAGTTAAAAGAACTTTGAATTCTCTTAGTAAGCATCGGAGAAGCTTTGTGTTTAGAGGTGCAGAGCTTCATTAGTGATGCAGTCGCTTGTATCCTCATGTGTATTCATAAGAACAATGAAATAGCTAACACCAAATAACCACGATGCTCAATATGCATTTTGCAGAGACTGAGGTAGGTAATTCTTAATAACAATGTTTAGGTTAGTCATCTAGCAGCGGCTGTTTTGTGTAATCGGAGGCTGAACACAGGAATTGTGAAAGGATGACACAGAAGAGCCTGTGTGAAATAGGAAAGAGGAAAGGCTTCCTGGGGGCTGGGGAGAGAGGTGTCTAAGAGGATCCAAATCTTGACCTCTGTCATCCCAAAGTCATTTGTGCAAGAACTTCCTATAGATGAGACCTAATTAAATGCCTACTCTTAGAGGACTGTCTGCAGGAGTCTGGGTTGACCTTGAGAGAACAGGTCAAAGGATTAAGCAGCCCCAGGTTAGGAAGGACCTGGGGAGAGATCATCTAAGGGATCCCCCTTCCCTTCACCACCAGCCAGGATAAGAGTCTGACTATCTCACAAAACAGATGTACATGCAGCAAAGGGCAAGATCCTCACTAGACCTTGCTCATGTCCAGCTTCTTCACCTTGTCACCCCGTCAGAGAGGGTTAGACAAAATCCTTAGGTCAGATCCAGAGCTGGCCATGTCACTGAGCTCAAGTTTATGTAGCAACTGCAGACAGACCTGCCCCTGAAAAGGGCAGTGAGAGAGTGACTGCAGCCTGACGAATTAATAACTCATCAGCAAGCACACTTTTTTCTATCAGAGAAAGCCCAGATTTCTAGAAGCGAAAGATGTAGCAATTAGCGTGCTGGGTGTCTGCCTCCTCCTGCCAGGTGGCTTCCTCCCCGAGCTTGAAGCTCATCTTACATTCGACACAGGATGGCAGGCTCTGCTCCAGGGAGATGAGAGGAACATAATAGATGGAAAGACTGCAATTCAATTCAAATTAAAAAAAAAAATCCACTGAAAGCTTAGTATTTGCAGGGCATTGTGCTGGGCTCTGAGGATAAAAAAGATGAAAGAAGACATGCTTCCTGTCCTTGAGGAGTTTACAATCTAATAGACTGCAGGCTCAGACAGAAGGGCCTTTTGGGGGTGCGAGTGAAGAGAAGGAAATGCAATGAAGTAGTGTCCCTCTATTCAAGGATATTGGACTGGGGAAGATGGGGAAGGTAGTTTTGAAGTACACGAGAGAATCAGGCAAAGCTGATTCTATCAGTTGACTGTTATCCTTGCTAACAGACTAAAGATTTCATATTCGTTCTGTACCTTCAGTGACCGTGGTTTCCTTTATGACTCAGCTGTGAGTGCTGTTCTCTGCGGCAGAAGACCTTTCCTGGTGCTCTCAGCTGCTAGCGCCTTCCCATCAAAGGTGACCTTGTGCCTACTTTGTATGTATCCTTACATAAGTGCATATTCTGTCCCAATGGATATAAGCCCCATTGAGGGCCATTTCTTTCTCTGTATTTGTTTCCCCACCACGGAGTGCAGTGCCTACTCTGCAGCAGGTGTTTAGTAAAGCCTTATTGATTGATTGATAATAAATAAATAAATTGAACAAGAAAGAAAATAAGCAACTACTGAAACTCTTACACTTGGCTTTCTGGATTGCATCGCTTGGGCCTGTCTCGCCCTGCAGCTACTCACCTAAACATTTAAAACTGGCTTCTTAAATGGTGAAGGGATGAAGTCTTAGATGCCTCCAGAGGAAGTTGAATGGTGATGAGGAAGGGAAGTAGGGTGGTCTCCTGCTGCTGGTATGGGAATGAAAATGGGGTGCAGATCTAAGAAAAGAAAGCATCCTCATCTGTCTGCTGCCATAAGCAGGCTATGTTAGATACTAGCACATGCCTTTCTCATTAGGGCGTTACATGTAAAGGGCAAAGAAAGGCGAATGACTGTCTCGTCTAATAGAACACTGAGAAGGAGCTTGGCATAATGGTTAAAGTGGTGCACTCATCCAGGCATGAAGGCATCCAGTGTTTGCTTCGCACATACTAGTTGCTTAGTAAATGTTTATTGATTGATTGAACATAGGGTCATATATCTAAAGCTGGGAGGGGGTTCAGAGGTCATCTAGTTTACAGGTAAGGACACTGAAGCCCACAGAGGTTAAGAAATTTGACTAGTTTCTCTCTCTGTCTGTCTCTCTCTCTGTCTCTCTCTCTGTCTCTCTTTGTCTCTGTCTCTGTCTCTCTCTCTCTCACATACACACACACACACACACACACACACACACACACATACACAGAGGATCAGAGGTAGAATTTACCATCACTGTTTTTTGCACTGAGCTGGGATGCATTATTTGGCCAGGATGTGCTGCTCCTGATAGTAGCTATATGCCCATAATCACTTTGTTTTCTCATCTGTTGACTTAAGCTCATAACACCTGTATCAGCTATTTCACAGGGTCATTCTGAGGTTCTATGAAGATCGCATACATAAGGTGCTCTGAGAACAAATTAGAGGAAAATGCCCAAATGCCCTCCACTCCCTGCCTACCTCCCTCCCCATGATTGAGCAAAGTACCTACAGATCTCTGTCAAGGCAGGATTCATGTGTCCCTTTGGCACTTGGCTCTGCAGAGCTAACCGCTGTGATCTCCCAGCTCTGAGGGTTCATGAGAATTGTCTCAGACTGTACGGTGAAGGAGGATTCAGTGCTGTCCATGCTCAGGTGGTACCTCTGTGCTCCACAAGTATGTCTCCATGTCCGCACATACATAAAACACACACCCTGGCAGACGGCCAGGCCAGACCTTGGTGATTTGTTTTCCTTTCTTGCAATTTAATAGAGAATCAATAGACTAACCAGGGAAATCTCTATTTCGGCTTCATTTCTTCTACCCTCTGCAAACAGCTCCTGCCAAGAAGCAAGAATTTGGCTTTGCACAAGAGACAAACAAGGAAAAAATCACATTCTGGTGTCTAAATGGATAGACCAGGTAAGTGGGGGGGCAGCCTTGTACCATAATCCCCAAGCCCATCCCAGTCAATATTAACCAGCTTTGATTGCCTGAACTTTTTATCCCTGCTTCTGCTGTCCCCATTCTCTCCCAAACCAGTGTTTGAAAGCATAGCTACTATCTCCTTGAGTGGGAGGTGGGAAACAAAAGGGGATTTGGGTATCTCGAGGTAGTGTCAGACCTCTGCCACTAAGATAGAGATCTGCACAGATAGCTTACAGCCTGTATTACTGTAACTCGATGTTTCCTCACTGATAACGCCTGCAGCAGGCTCTGACTCCAGCCCATACAGAATGCCGCAGCTGGAATGGAACACACCATTTGGTTCATATGATTCCTCTAACATAAGAGGCCTGATACCAGCTTCCCATTGAGCTCTGAATTCCATTCAAAATTGCTTTGTTGACATTTAAAGGTCTCCATCAGTCTAGTCATGTGGTAAAGGAGGCGGATAAAGTTGCAAGCTCCCTCCCTACCTCCCAGCTGAACTTCAAGACAAACCCGCCAGCTGTCTGGATGGAAGAATTCTCCTTGGTCAGAGATTTGAACCTTCTCAATAGCCAATAACTCAAATAAGATCCTATTAAAAGAGAAAATGAAATCTGTAACTAAACCCCCCTGAAGGGTCCCAGCTGCTCTGCCAAGTTTCCATTTTGGTTCCTTTCCCAAAAGATTCACATCGTAGGAGATTTTTAAGAGAAGCCCAAAGTAGAACTTCCTAATGGCAAAGCACTGAACAGGCTATTCCAACTGTACAGTTATCCCTTCTACATCACATGGGGTTAGGGGTATGGCACCCCCATGATCTGTAAAATCCTCGTAAAAATTTTTTGGCCTCCTTTTGTACCAGAGAAGAAGTCTGAATTTTTTCTTTTTCTTTTATGGGATGTTTACAGTACCTTATTGTAAAATTTGGGTTAAGTATTTGGTCATAGGCTCTGGGTTGTCTCCTGGCCTTTACCTGTTGTCTGTGACTTCTACAAAACTCCCCCAAAATTCCTATTTTATTTCTTATGCCAACCCACAATATATTTAAACCTCTATGTGGAAAGTTGCAATGTGGAAGGGATGATTATACTTCCTTTTTATGCAGAGGTTTTAAGAACAGAAATTGACTCTAGGATCCTGGAATTTGATAGTTTAATATATTACATACTGACTGGTGGCAGGATACACCAAAAGTCCTTTGAGGGACCTTCCTACTCATGATTCTTTGACTTCATTTTTTTTGAAGAGTCCTTCACAATTCCCATTCTGGTTACCATACTGACATGCTGAGTGGGTGCAATGGCATAATAGATACAAATTTGGCTTTGGAGTCAGAAAGAACTATATTTGAGTCCTATTTTGGCCCATCCTTGCCACGTGACCCTAGGAGAGTCATCTTTCACTGCCCTGTATGATTTTTAAAACTTTTTAAAAAATTTTTCCCTCTATTATTATAAATTGCAGAGCCAGTGCTGATCAGCTTTGGTAAAGGGGATTTCCTCACCTGGATGAAATGACAATGAAATAAATCACAGGTCCAGTGATGGAGGTGGGGAATGAAGAGAGGGTGAGGAGGAAGCCTAGATGAAATGGGCTAAGCAATAAACAACATAAACTTCATTCTAGTGCCCAAAATTTTAGCCAAATAAATGTTTCCATTATAGTTACAGACTGCCCAGAGGGATTGGACTTACAGGTCACATCTTTCAGTAGGACCCCTCTCCCAAGGCCCGAAGGAGCTTAAATTCATTGGTAAAATGAAATTCTGACCTGATTAATTCCTAGATAAGAGCTTTGGATTTTTTTGGCTTCACTGTATTTCAAATACCTGAGTGTGGCACGAGTATCTGGTTCCAGCTGGGAAAAGGAGTGGCCATTTCCAGTTCCTGCCATCAAGAAGGACTGCTCAGGAGAAGATGGACATGAGACAATGGACAGTTCATGTGGCAGACGGTCATGGCTCCAAGCTGGCTGCCTGAAGCCCATCAAGCACATGCCAAAAAATACAAATACACCTGCTCCACTCTCCCACTGAGTCCTGTATCGTGTCACGCACTGCTAAAGCTAAAGAATCATTTATTTTTCCATGATTAAGTTTTTATTCAACTCACAAAAGGGTTACATATAACTGAGTTTTCGTCTGGTCTAAGGACCTTTTTCCTCAATTCCTCCTAACTCTAAAATATTATAATAATAGTATTAGTAGTAGTAATAATAATAATAACAACAGCATTTATATAGTACCTTCTCTATACCAGGCACTGTGCTAAAGGTTTAGCAAATTTTATCTCATTTGATAACATCTTCCCAGCTAATGAAATTTAACTTTCTTTACTAGGCCAAGAAAATCCACACTTCTAACTTGCAAAGAGTAGGTTATCTTATTAGCACTAAAATGTTCTCTATCCCAAAATAAAACACCATCAAAATTCTGCCTGCAGCCAGAGGAATGTGTGGGTTTTGCTCTATCAGTGCCGGAGGAGAAAAATGCAGTTTTCACTTTCTCATATTTAAAAATGTGGAACTCTTGGTGGAATGAATGATATTTCATTATTTGTGGTGATCAGTTCACCAAGTAGGTAAAAGTCACCATAAAGACAAACTAAAATTGAATGTGTATGTCTGTGTATGAGATGTTTGTGGTGTTGATAGTGGTGGTGATGTGTGTGTGTGTGTGTGTGTGTGTGTGTGTGTGTGTGTGTGAATGTGTTTTGGAGGGAGCAACATTGAGAGGTCCTTTGAGAAAATAAAATATTGTGGAACCATTATGCCAAAAGAACTTTAAAGGTCCTTTAGAACATAGTATCAAACTCAAATAGAAACAGATAAGGCCTAATGTTGACTTAGAAAATCACAAACTAGCATTATCTATTTTCTGTTGTATTTTTATGTTTTTGTTAAACATTTCCCAATTATATTTCAATCAATTCCCTGCTACACTGGAGAGTTTTATACCCTGAGTTTGATACCTCTGCAAGTCTAGCCCAACTTCATCCATAGATGAGGATACTAGGGCATAGAGAGGGTTAACCAGTTTGCTCAAGATCATACAGCTAGTTAATAGTAGATCTGGCACTTAACTCAGATCCAGTCCAAACCAAACCAACAAGCATTAATTAAGTGCCTACTACATGCAAGGTATTGGGGTTATAAAGACAATGGAAAAGAAGCTTGCCTTCAAGAAGCTTAAATTCCACTGGAGTAGAAAGTTTTGACTCCCACTTCAGTGTTTTCTATTACCCAGTAGAGATCAGTCCTTGAGTCTAATGAAGAAATTGCCTTTGGATTCTTTAAGAACCTCTCTTGCCTCTATGAAAAAGGAAAATATCACTGGTTTATATCACTTTCTCCTGTTCTTCAGGTCAAAAATCAAAGAAATTTCAAGGTCATAAGTACAGAGGATTACAGATTTAGAGCTGGAAGATGATCTAATAAAGTGCACTCTCTCTCTCTCTCTCTCTCTCTCTCTCTCTCTCTCTCTCTCTCTCTCTCTCTTTTTGTTTGTTTGGTTTTTTTGTTTGTTTTTTACAAATGAGCAAACTGAAGATCCTAGAGATTAAATGACTTGTCCAGGATCACCTAGTTAGTAAAGTCAGAATTTGGAATTGATCCTAGGTCTTCCTGACTCTAAGATCAGTATTCTATTCACTACCCTATGCTAAGAGTGTGTTGTGTCAAGGATACGTAATCAGCTGAATGTGAGGTATCTATATGAGCCATTCACACAACCATACACACACACACACACACACACACACACACACACACACACACTCCTGTATTACAGCATACCTGGATGAGTATTTGGAAAGGAAGCTCTATGTCTTTGTATCATTTCTAACCTGGAGATGGGAGCACAGGATTTGCCCAGTAAGTTCCTCTCGTCATGTGGCCTGACTCTGCATCTCTCTGTAGTCATTGACTTGGCTTTATTTGCAACTAAAGCCCAGTTGGGGAGACCAGCAGTTCATTCCCTAGCATGATGAAGGCGAAAGAAGTCATCAGCAAACATCAGAGGCAGCAGGGCAGGGAGGTGGTGTTTGCTGAGGGAGGGGAGGAGTAGCCTTGTGCATTTTTCAAAGGATTTCTTGCCCACTTACTCAGCAGTTCTGGAAATGCATAGAATGAACAAGTGAAATAATGATGCTGAAAAATGATGAGCTTGAAGGTTAAGCTCACTTTCATTTCAAATACCTTGGTCCCTTTCCCTCACCCTCCCCACCACAGTGTTTCTCTCCCTGGCTCGCTGTTAGGAAATGGGAGAATATAACACAGGACAGCACAGAGATGCACTCTCATTGGCCAGAGCAGAGCTAGAAAGACAGGGATGGGATGCTCTTCAAAATCTCCCCAGGGCAAGGATCCTGTCTAACGCATCTGTAATGTTGAGTATAGCACCTTCCCTCCTCCATCACCCACACACATATACACGATACATGTAGAGTTGACTGTTTAAAAATAAGAACAAAAAAAATCCAATTTAAATCCACAACCCCACAGGGAAAAGCTGAAATGCTGGGGGAAAATGAAGGACCCAGAACGGCATAGTAGAAACAACCCTGAACTAAAAAGTCAGAAGATTCTTCTTGTTCTCTCATTATCAGGGGACAAATTCTTATCCCAGACTCTAATGTGTATTAATTGTGGGACCTAGTAGTTCACTTTCCTTGGACTCAGTTTCTTGGATTCATTGTTTGAAATGGCAGAAGATGATCTCTTAGATTGGTTCCAGCTCTAGAATTCTATAATTTTGACCTGACTTCTGCCAGGATTCCATTCCCAAGATAAGTCTCCCAATTGGTATGGTTCTTAACTTCTATGAAAAATGACTACAACTTGAGAGCTGTCAAGGTTCCTGGCTACCATGCTGAGCTCTTTGGCATTTTGGCCACTAGGTCTAGCCATATGAAGTAGGATCCCAGAGTCTCAAGTCAAGGCAAATAATGGCAGAATGACTTTGTGGTTTAATGGAAAGGATATAGGATTCTTGAGTTCAAAGCCTACTTCCGTTGCTTATTACCTTGAGTTGGGTCAAGCTACTAACCAATCTTAATTTCAGTTACCCTATCTGTAAAATGTAGGAGTTAGAATAAATGACATAAAAGGTCCCTTCTAAGTCCATGATCCTATGAAGGAAGCAGAGGGTAGTCCCAGCCCTGTGGTAAATGCCTCAAAGGTCATGAAAGCATGAAAGCATTTCCTATTAGGGAATGGAAAAGAAAGGTAAGAATAAAGGCAGGATGGAATAAGCCTGTCAGATAGAGAAATTGCCACTTAGTGATAGAGAAAGCAAGGGCATCCTAATGTGGTGGGGGGGGAAGAGAGAGAAATGATAAATTTAACCAAATGGTAGAAGGAGAGACTAAATATACACTTACATTGATCACTTGCAAAAGGCGCATGCAGATTCACGCAAATGTGCATGCAGATTAGGTTTGTTCACTGGAGCCTGGGCAAGGGGCCACCATGGTCCCTGGGAGTGTTAAAGACAATGATCTATATGACCAGATCACCTTAGGAAATACTGACCTGGCTGGCTTTTGGCAAAGCTGGGAAATCTGACTGCAGTGAATTCTCTAAAGATAGGACTTTGCAGGATCCTATGCAAATGGATGGTTATTGGTACTAGGTATACATGAAGGTCGGAAAGGGATTCCTTCAGCGAGGCTGAGCCTAGAACTCCCACCCCTCAATCATAGAATAACATAGCAAGATAGTTCACTTTTGGCAGCATATTTTACTGGAAATAGCACCAGATTAGAAATTACAAGGACAAGCTTTCATTACTGGCTCTGCCACTAACAGATTACATGACCTCAGACATGTCACCAAACCTCTGCCAACCTCAAAAAGACATAATGCATGCACTTCCTTGTTTTCTACAAGGAAAGTACTTTATATACTTCAAAGTATTACATTAATGTTGCCTGACACTGGCAGAGTAAGCCTCTTTCACAGGACTCCCCAATATATATATATATATATCTCTGAATGGGGATATTGAACAAAGAAAGTCCTGTGGCTAACAGGAGGACTGGTCACACCAGCCCTAGGGATGGTGAAAACCTGGGCTTGGGACTTCTTGCCACAGAAGTCTGGGGATAATCAAACAACAAGATTTTATTAAATGGTGACTATGTCCCAAACACTGAGGTAGGTGTAGACAAAAGCCTTCAAGGAGCTTATCAGAGAAGATACCACACTCACACACACACACACACACACACAGACACACACACATACATGTATGTACACACACATACACATTTTATGTACAAAATAAATATAAGATAATTTGAAGGGGAAGGCACTAGTCAGCTAGGGAGTAGGGATCAAGAATTCCTATCAAAGATTGTACCTGAACTGATCTTTGGAGAAAACTATGGCTTCTAAGGGTTAGAGGTGAAAAGGGAGTGCGTCCAGGCATTTGATGGGGTGGGGAAGGCAGTGGAAGAACAGAGAACTCAGATGGAAATGGAATGATTGTGTGTGGAGAACTGTAAGGAAGCCAGTTTGGCTATACCCTAGTATGCATGATGGGGTGTGATAGATGATAAGGCTGGAAAGTTAATCTCCCTGAACTACCTCATTTCTACTTTTCCAGTAGAAAACAAGCCTCTAAGAAGTTTGTTTTATAGTGGACCTATAAATATTCCCCATGCAAAACTCTACATTTGGTTCGCAGGGCCTGACATCCCCACTGTTTCTTTTTCCCTTTTTATTTGTGTAGGCCCCGGAACTAAAAATCACCTCCTGTTAGAACTAGGAGAAAAGCCTGGAACACTATATATACATATTTTATATATATACACACACACACACACAGAGACATATATATGTATATATATATATATGTTTCTGTGTGTGTGTGTGTGTGTATATATATATATATGTACACACACACATATATATATACATATACCATACACAGAGACATATATATATATATATATATATATATATATATATATATATGTCTGTGTGGTATATATATATACATACACATACACACACACACAC